TGATAATAAAAGACGATGGTGGATATGTATGGCATTAGCACAAGTGCCTAACACGTTCATACCCTTGCGTCCAAGGGCCGTGAGGCAAGTGCTTTCTTGTGTAGCCACCGCAGCGAAAACCTCTCAGGAGAGGTCGTGCTACGGAATGCCGGGGAATATGATATGAAAACTATGAATTTCTCTTAAAAACGCGAATAACATATTTACCTGGTGTCAATTATGTAACATGGAACTAAACATTTCAAAATGCAAAGCAATACGTGTGTGCCGCACCTCACTTGCGTATCCAGATTATCATCTCAATGATACCCACCTCGAGTCTGTTTCATTTTACAAATACCTAGGTGTTCATATTTCCAGTAACCTGTCATGGAACCACCATGTGGAGCACATCATCGCCAAGGCTAACCGTTCTCTCGGGTATTTTCGCAGGAACTTCTACATGGCGCCCTCATCCCTTAAGAAACTTCTTTACACTACTTATATTCGTCCATCACTTGAATACGCATCATCCGTCTGGGATCCTGGTGGCACTACACTTACACATGAATTAGAAGCAGTCCAGAATCGTTCAGTTCGCTTCATTTCAGCCAATTATAACCGCACGGCCAGTGTTACCTTAATGAAGTCCCAGCTCAACCTTCCTGAACTCGCCATTCGGCGTAAAATAGCCCGACTCAGTCTCCTTCATAAACTTTATCATAGCAAAAATCTTCGTGAACAGTTTATTAAACCCCCCTCATTCATATCACCCAGATTGGACCATCTGCAAAAAGTTCATGTTCCCCGCTGCAGAACCGTAACCTATTCGCATGCCTTCATTCCAAGAACCACATCCGAATGGAATCTACTACCACACTCAGCTACGGCTATTACCGATACATCACGTTTTAGGGCCTTTTTGCAAAACATGTTTTGCGATGTTTGATTTTGCTTCGTGTTATATATGTCGTGCTTTTTTTTTTTTTTTATCAAAATCGTTGTCATGTATTCCCGCTGCTACATTTACTTCTTTGTTACTGTGTGTTTTTGCCAACCGCTTTGTATTTTCCCTTCTTTTCCTTTACGTTTTGCCGTTTTGCCATTTTTTTTTTTAACAAAATCGTTGTAATGTATTACCGCTACTACATTTAATTCTTTGTTACTGTGTGTTTTTGCCAATCGCTTTGTATTTTCCCTTCTTTTCCTTTACGTTTTGCCGTTTGCTGTATTATTTTGTATTGCCACTCCCCTCTGTAATGCCTTCGGGCCCTGAGGGTACCATAAATAAATAAATAAAAATGACTTATGACTAAAAAGCGGTTCCCTACCGACGAACATTGCAGGGTGTAAAGGTATATGTTGTCGGTAGGGTAATGGAAAGTGTTGTTTTCTTAGAGCGTCCAATTGTTTGCACTGAATCAAAATGTGAAGGACTGTTAATCCTTCACCACATCTGTCACACAATGGTGGATCCCCACCGGACAAAAGATGTGTGTGTGTCGTGTATGTGTGTCCTATCCTGAGTCTTGTAAGTATTACCTCTGTATGACGCAATTTCGATACGGGTAGCCAATGACCAAGGTGTGGCTTAACAATGTGTAGTTTGTTTTGTGTGTGTGTATCCCACTTGCTCTGCCAGTAGTCCCTGAGATTTCGTTTGAGAGACGGCTTAAGATCAAGGGCCGGGATTGATATGGATGTAATGGCGGTGCTCTCATGGACGGATGCAGCGAGCTGATCCGCCCTCACGTTGCCTTGGATCTCACGGTGCCCTGGCACCCAGCACACTACAACATGTTGTTTGTGCGTGTAGAGTGTGCACAAAATGGAGTAAAGTGAGACAAGGACTGGGTTTTTTTGTTTTTTAAGACTGTGCAGAGCCGTTACCACACTGAGGGAGTCTGTATAAATTACTGCTTTTTGTATTTGTAATTGTTTGATGTGTTTGGCTGCCAATAGTATCGCGTAAGCTTCCGCTGTGAAGATACTTGTGCGTGGATGTAGAGGGCCAGCATCCGAAAAGGATGGGCCGACAGCAGCGTAGGACACAGAGGAGTTAGTCTTGGAGGCATCTGTGAAGAACTCAGGACATGTGTATTTGTGTTGAAGTTCAATGAAGTATGTTCGGATATGGGCAATAGGCGCATGTTTTGTAACTTCAAGAAAGGACACATCACAGTCTATAGTCTGTCATTGCCACGGTGGCAGATATGCTACAGGAGCCATTAAACTATGTTCAAGTGAGACTCCAGTTTCCTCAGCTAGACTTTTCAGGCGAACTGAGAAGGGCTGCCTCATCGAAGGCCTGTTTTGAAACAGAGTTGAGCTCGACAAATCATTAATTGTAGAGTATGAGGGGTGCTTCTTGTCTGCTTTCACCTTAAGGAAATAAACAAAGGACATGTAAGTTCTCTGCAGATGAAGCGACCACTCATTTGACTCAACATAAAGGCTTTCTACGGGGCTGGTGCGAAAAGCACCCGTAGAAAGGCGGATGCCCAAATGGTGCACGGGGTCAAGCATCTTCAAGGCACTTTGAGTGGCAGACTGATAGACAACGGCCCCATAATCTAAGCGGGTACGAATAAGGCTTCTATAGAGGTTCATGAGGCATTGCCTATCACTACCCCACGTAGTACGTGACAACACTTTTATAACATTCATGGCTTTTAAACATTTTGTTTTTAAATACTTGATGTGCGGTACGAAGGTCAACTTGTTGTCCAAGATTAAGCCCAAGAATTTATGCTCGGCTTTGACGAACAGACGTTGCCCGTTCAGCGGAATGTCAGGTTCCGAGTGCATGCCTCTCTTTCGAGAGAACAAGACACACGTGCTTTTTTGTGGATTAAGTCGAAATCCGTTTTCGTCTGCCCATTTGGAGACCTTATTTAAACCCATCTGAACCTGCCGCTCACACATGGCTAAGTTGCATGACTTGAAGCCAAGCTGAACGTCGTCGACATATGTACAATAGAACATCATGCGGGGAATGGACAAGTGCAAAGAATTCATTTTGATGATAAAAAGTGTGCAACTAAGCACTCCACCTTGTGGCACGCCTGTTTCCTGGACAAATGTTTGGGAGAGCACACTGCCTAGACGGACACGGAATGTCCGGTTTGACAGGTAACTTTCGATTATATGAAACATTCTTCCGCGCACACCAAGGTGGGACAGGTCTCTTAGAATTCCGAAATGCCATGTTGTATCATACGCCTTTTCGATATCGAGGAACACAGAGAGAAAATATTGTCTATGGACGAAGGCGTCTCTTATCTGTGCCTCGATACGCACCAGATGGTCGGTGGTGGATCTACCCTCCTGAAACCCACAGTGAAATTCGTCAAGCAGATTGTGTGTTTCAAGGAAATGTAAAAGTCGGCGGTTTATCATTTTTTCAAAAAGTTTACAAACGCAGCTGGTTAGTGCAATGGGCCTATAACTTGAAACTGAGGAAGGGTCCTTGCCCTGTTTCAAAATAGGGATAACAATAGCCTCTTTCCAGGAAGCAGGGATGGTGCCTGAAAGCCAGATAGCATTGTATAGAGAGAGTAAAGTTTTTCGCGTTTCGAGCGGTAAGTTTTTCAACATTTCATATGTGACACGGTCGTAGCCTGGAGCGGAATTATTGCAAGAGTTTAGTGATGTTTGTAGCTCAGCAAAGTTGAAAGGTTGGTTGTATTCCTCGTAATTTGTGCACTTGAATTCTAGTTTCTGCTTTTCTATCTTTGCTTTGTGTCTTTGGAAAGCTTCAGTGTAGTGTGACGAGCTAGACACCTGCTCGTAGTGTGCACCGAGGAAGTTCGCTTGATCTTCCAGGCTATCACCCTGTGTGTTTACGAGTGGGAGTGAGTGTACTTGTCTTCCTGCTACCCTACGAACCATGTTCCAGACTTTAGCCTCTTGTGTATATGAATTTATCCCTGATAAAAACTTGTGCCAGCTTTCTTTTCTGGCCTGCCGACGCGTTCTCCTGCCTCGAGATTTTATTTTCCTAAAGCTCTCAAGGTTTTCCGCTGTCGGCGAGTTCCGCAGCAACAGGACCAAGAAGTCTCATTCAGGACATTCCTCGCTGGGAAATTGATCACTGAAGGACGTGTCGAGATTGTAAGGGAAGCTGAGGGAGTTCTTCTTCGAGCCTCAGGCTTACTGAAATGTCCTGGTGCCATGTCTACATCGGCAATCATCGCAGAGGAGATAACAAAGAGCCTCCTGAAAAAAACAGCCGTCATTGGCGGCGCTTTCTACAGCCGGAGATGCGCAGTAACGACAGTGACAGAAGGTAAGGGCGAAACTAATCTTTCACTTGTGTACATGTAGTATATTTGCACATAAGGCAACATGGTGAACTGAAAAAGTGTGAGATATTTTGTCCGAGCTCCTGAGACATAACAGAAATTGTTTTGAAGGCTGATAGCTTCGTGAACTTGCTTTACCTCAGGAGCAGTGAAGAAATTATGTTTATTTGCACAGCGGTATACTAGAGAAGTCATTTAGCGAACCCAACAAAATAACATTACCATGCTTTTCAGGAGCTCCTTGCCTGTCTTGTCAACATTCTCGTGCTTCCGGGCGATACTACTCCGCGGAAGTACACCGCCTCGTACAGGAGTGGCTTCGGTTTCAACAGAAAGGTTCTAGAAACTTTGAAGACGAAAACAGACACAATGGACACCTTCAGCCATCGTGGCGGCATCCTGGTGGACGAAATGAAGTTGTCTGAGCACCTTTCAATTGACAAGACTGGTAGAATCTGAGGCTTTGTCGACCTGGGGCCCTTTATACCACAGGCAGATGCGAACCTTTCTTGCGACCATGGTATGGTTGTTATGTTCGTGCCATTTGCAGGCAAATTTTCTCAGGTTTTGGGGGTGTTTGCTGCGCACGGAAATGTTAAGGGCGACCTTCTCTGCAAGATATTTATCGAAACAACGATCTTAGCAGAACAGGCAGGACTCTTTGTCGACTTCATAACCTGCGACGGAGCTTCGTGGAATAGACGAATGTGGACATCGATGGGCATCCAGGGAACCTCAAGCAAAATAACGTGCAAGGTGAAGCATCCTGTGGACCCCAAGAGGAACCTTCATTTACTGTCAGACTTTCCTCATCTAATGAAGTGCCTCCGCAACTCCCTCTTGAAAGGTGGTTTCAGCACACCAAATGGACAGGTATAAATGTTTTATTACATTCTTGCTTAACATTTTATATTAAGTCAACTGGCTAATCACTGCACTTTTATATTGATGCAGGTGTCAGTGTATTTTGTGGCCGAGACTTTCAACCTGGACAAAGACAGCATTACCTTGACGGCTATGCCAGGGCTGACTACAAGCCACCTTCAGCCCAATGACTTCGAGAAGATGAGAGTGTCCCTTGCCTTCCAGCTATTCGGAGACTTTGTGCTGCGTGGTCTACACCACTACAAGGACACCCTGGAGTCACGTTATGGAAAGGGTGCAGTTGATGCTACAGAATCATTCTTCAGGTACCTAAATATATTGTATTTGCTGTATTCTTTGGGCAAAAGACAAGAGTGCGTTAATGGCCATCACTGTTGAACCCACCTCTAATGAAGATTTTTTTGCATTTACAGGCTGATGAACCAACTCATCAAACTGATGACCTCCAGATTCAAGTCCGAGGCTCTTTGGCCGCACTCAAGTGGTAGTTCTGCGCTCTCCAGTTTTCTAGACTACATTGACAAGTGGGAGCAGCATGTCGGCAAGGGCGTCGGGTTCCTTAGCAAGCAGACAGCTACTGGCCTGAGGGTTACGCTGTCCAGTGTGCTTTCTTTACTGGACTATGTTACCACAGAACTAAGCTACAGGTATTTGATGACGAGTAACCTAAGCAAAGATCCACTCGAGAACTTGTTTGGAGTTGTGCGGCAGTCGTCGGGCTGTAATGACCATCCGACCCCATAGCAGTTCTTAATTGCTGTCAACTGCCTGAGCTACTATAGCCTAGCTAAGCCAGTGCACGGTGCGAGCGTTACACCATTGGTGCTTACATCACTGCTCGACACTGGAGATGCACACTCGGCAGATGCAACAAGCCTGCAGCAAACAATTGATGACCACATCGCTCAAGGAGATCTTGACGTGATAGAAAGCGCTGCCTGCCATGACAGTATTGCTGCCCCAACTGAGCATTACAGCCTTGTGGGAAAAAAAAGTGACTCTCGCCTAGCATATTACATGGCTGGATATGTTGCTAGAAAGTGTGTGCAGAAGTCAGGATGCACTGCTTGTCGTACTTCACTGCTTGTTCCAGCTTCAGAAGGGAAGGAGCATGAGTGTTCGGCCTTTACGAACTTTTGAGACAAAGGTGGTTTGTTGTACCCGTCTAAGGAGCTGTTTGACTTCGTTAGCTATTTAGAAGACACATTTACAGACTGCTTCAGCACTAATGAACTGAGCAGTGATAGCATTTTAGATGTGCTGCATCTGGTCAGGGTTGAAGGGAGACCCCTTGGCTGTGCTCAACATGCAAAAGCAGTGAAGTCTCATGTGGTAAAATTTTATGTTGTCACTCGATTGCACTTTTTGGTTAAAGGAATCAATAGAGCTAAGGAAGAACGGCGCAGGAGGCTGCAGCACCTAAAGCTCCGTAGGTGCGTGTAGGATTCCCGTACAGCTGAGTGCTCCACTCGTCCTGTTACATACCTGTAACAGTTTTTTTTGTTCATAGTATTTACAGTGATTTTTTTGTACTTTGAAGTTTATCTGTGTACATAGCCAGTGTAACAGTGATACTTCTTTGTATATATGTAAAGCAATAAGTTTTAAGCATCTTTATTTTTATTTTGTTTTCCTTTAAAATGTATCTTTATGCATAGTGTGTGTGACTGATATTTTTTTGTATATAGCAGCCTGTTTTAAACATCTTTATTTTTATTTTGTCGTGTCTGTAAACACATTTAATATGCTGTTGACAGGTGGAAAAAAACCGCGTTGGTTTATGCCTGGCTTTATCCTTTGGCTAAATTACAGCTGCTTGTTTCTACACATTGAACGATATTTGTATATTTGCTGCTGATCCAATAAAAAGCTAAGAGATGCAGACATCGCTGTTGTCCTTTTAATATGGGTGTAAGAAAAAGCAGTTTTTTATTAGCATCGTTATTTAAAGCATTCCTTCCCGTAGCCGAGGCGTTGTGACAAAAGCACACGTGTAGCTTTCGCCCACGACATTCATTCCAATTTGAACTGCTATTTACAGCTTCGCTTTACTGCGGCCATGCACAATGAGACGGACAGCACGCGGACTTGACAGTTTCTCTCAATTGGTAAAAAGACTAAAAAAAACGGAATCGCGAAGAACCTACTCAAGGGGCGCATTCGCGCGTCACCGTAGCAGACGCTCAGAGCCGCGAAACCAGTGCAGCAACATTTAGGGGCAATATTATGAGGCGAAAGCCTGATTATCCTGTGGAAACACCATTTTTAATGCTACGCTGACAGTATAAATCTATAGCCGTACACCGGTAAGAAACTGGCCGTCGCACGTGTCGCCAAAGGCGCAGAAGCCCGGCAACGCACGACCGCGCGAGCGATGCGCGACCAAGCCGGATTGCTCGTAGCGCCCTCTATCGCAACCGCGTACGGAGCTTCAGGAAAACAGCGGCGATCGCGCCACTCAACCTATTCTAGTACACTCTAGTTGGAGATAAGGTAGTAGGGGATGATGACTTCAGAACTGGTCTTGACGATGATGGTCTTCCTGAAGCTCCTGAAGTCTTCATGACCGTTGGAGTCAACGTCAGATTTAGGATGCCAGTTGGATACTTCCTAATAGACTCACTCACAGGAGCAGAGAGGGCCGAGCTGGCCAAACAGTGCATTGAGAAGCTTGCGTCGGTGAAGGCTGAAGTTGTCTCTCTCACGTTTGACAGAGCCTCGTCAAACTTCACTATGGCCAGGTGTTTAGGTGCTCAACTTCGTGTTGACTGTGAGCAAATTTCTTGAAGCTTTGCGAACCCGGCTGACGATGCTAAGAATATTTACATTATCCCAGACGCCTGCCACATGATTAGGCTTATCCGCAATTCCATGGCAAATTTAAGCTACATTGTTGATGCTGAAGGAAAGCACATGAAGTAAGTCTACATAGTGGAATTGGAGGCATTTCAGCATTCCGAAGGGCTGCGGCTGGGCAACAAACTCAAGAAAGTCCACGTGCAATAGAAAAAACAAAAGATGAAGGTGCGATATGCTGCGCAAGCATTGAGTTCCTCTGTGGCCGACGCCTTAGACTTCCTTGAAAACGTGCTGAAGCTACCCCAGTTCCGGGGCGCCAGTGCAACATCGAAGTTCGTGAGGGTCTTCAATCACCTATTCGACCTTTTTAATTCTAGGAAGCCTTTTGCAAGGTCGTACAAGGCTCCTCTGTGGAAGCAGAATGAAGCCTGCTGTAAGCCATTCTTTGCCTACACCCAAGCGCATATAAAGGGATCGAAAGATCTGGCTCGGCGGCCAGTTTTAGAAGGCTTGAAAAAAACTGGTTTTGTGGACTTCTTGATCTGCATGGCGAGCACTGAAAAAATGTTCGACGAGCTTGTTGGCCAGGGTAAGCTGAAGTACTTGTTGACGCACAAACTGAGCCAGAATCACGCTGAGAACTTCTTCGGATCTGTTCGTGGCCCAGGCGGGTATAACAACAACCCAACCGCTGCCCAGTTCTTGGTAGCATACAAGCGTTTGCTGGTGCAAACAGAAGTGATGTCTTCTAGTTCGGGAAACTGCACCAAAGACATGGTTTCCATCCTGAATGCCACTACTGTTGTCGCCCAGGTAGACGCAGCGAGCACGCTCACAGACATGCGCAGGTCCTCGATCTTAGAGCCTCATGACGACCACGACTACACGCACCCCGAAAACTTTTCTGCCGTAGTTGTACGCCAAGTGTGCAAGACAACAACATGCGACGAGTGCATTGCAGCCCTGTACTCAGATGAGCTAGTTCCCCTAGTTGAGCAGAAAAACAGAGGTGGGCTCGTGTCCCCGTTTAAGGATGTCATTGGCTTGTGTGAAGCCATTGAAAAGGGGCTGCGACGGCTACAGATTGAGTGTGGAACACTTCAAGCAGTTAACTCCCAGTCAAAGCGTCTCGTTTCCGAAGTGCTACGACTGTCTGTAGAGGAAAAATGCTTTCAGAAGCTAGAGCAGCACATTCTTGACCTTGATCCCCTCGACAATCATATCTACAGCTTGTGCAAAAAAGTTGCGGAGCTGTATGAGAAAATCCGCATCCCCCACATGACAAAAGAAAGAAACCGCGAGATCATCAAGGACAGGGTCAGGCCAGTTCTTTCAAGATTGATCATTTTTAAACATCAGTGAGTCTCCCCGCAGTGCGCGTTTCGGCTATACTGTCACATATATTTTTATTGTTTGTGTGATTGTGTTTTTCTGCCATTTTCGAGTTTCTCTAAGCATTTTCGTAGGCCATTTCGCCACCAAAAAGCAAAGAATAAATGCTTACAACCCGACACAACTTTGTTATTGCTTTGAAGACGCGAGAAACTGCACCTGCTGATTAAATAAGCGCGAGCGCAGCTGTACTCGGCTGTTTCCTGCCACTTCCAAGATGGCCGGCGGGGGCTCGGCGCGGCTTCACCCGCTCCCATGGGTACGCATTAGCGGCTTCCACTACAGCAAGTTTTTATATCCTCCTTGGTGCAAGCCCAGGAAGAAGGCCGTCTCAAGAAACACCATATGTCTAGGCATTGGCCCTCGGAGACGCCGAGCTCACGACCACTGTCCGACAAAGCATGGGTGGTTGACCCGAGCACCCCACTCGCTGGAAGCAAGTCTGGAGGAGGCAGCATCGCTGGGACCATATGCGTGTTCGTGTTGTGTATGTGTGTATGTTGAGGGCGGTGCAGGCATGCTGACGCTAGGAAGGACTACAAGACCTGTTATTGGACAGCGCGGTCCAGACCCCTTCCCCGTTCTGGGGAGAAAGTACTCTATATAATGAGCCCCCCAGCGCCTTTGAGGACGCTCTCGAAATGTATACTATATAAATAAACTCTCTTCACGTCTGCCTTCCTCCTGCCTCGGTGTCTTGATCTCGGATCTCCGGTGCCGCAAGGGCTAGTCGCAACAGCGGCCATAGAGCCACCTTTGAATACTGCGGCGTGAGATGCCTCTGCCGCCGATGTAACCAGGAGAGCCACTTTAACCCATTGACTTCCGCGGCCGGCGATCTGCCGGCCGCTACGGCCGAGGCCAAAAGTTCTTTGACCGGCGAAACGCCGGCCACTTAGAAAATTATTGCGTTCATGATCTTTCATAGATGGCAGCACATTGGTTGGTGTTTGCCTTTTGTTTGATGTGTTCTCCGCTAGATGGACATATTTGTCCACTGTTGGAGTTATTTTTGTGCGCGTTTGGAGCTGTTTTGTGTGCGAAGTGAGCGAGGCGATTGCGACCGGTCTTGTTCAAAACATGGCATCGCGGCGGAAGCGTGGTTTGACAGAAGACGAAATTCTGCAACTTGTGTTTGACAGCGACGCCGAAAGTGACATTTGTGATGATGATGTTTCATTAGACGATGGGGAGGATCAAAGTGATGAAAGTAGTAGTGATGAGGAGGAGGAGGAGAACGTGTGTGCAGCAGAAGATCCGCTGGATACTTTGCCGCCTTCTCCATACTGACCGAGTTGCTGCAGTAAAGCATTGCAAACAGAATAAAGCAAGAATTGTGGTTCTATGACGTTTCTTGCGGACTTTATTGCGATTTTTATACACCGCCCCATGCCGCCCACTGGCACGAAACTTTTGCCGCGGAGTGGTAGGCAGGACCGGGCGCACAGTGCGCGGAAGCCAATGGGTCAAGGCCCAGTGCGACACACGCCATTGCGCAAGGTGTGGAATCTTCAGACACCGCACGAATACCTGCACCCAACTGTGTCGACGTT